TTATTAATTATATAGGCAAATTATTATATATACATAGGGTTGCGTTCACATGAAGAGAGTAATATATAGAGGATTGTGCGGACAAATAATGGGCACACGACAAATTACTATCATGCACACAATTTAATACACAATGGCACACTAGCATACATGTAAACATCAGGTTTCGAACCCATGCTCTATTAATTAACAAACCTATGCACACGATATACAGACTAATGGCACACCACTATATCTATCATCACAGTCCTCTATAATATAGTTGTCCTCATTTGAATACACTTATATATATATATATATATATATATATATATATATATATATATATATATATATATATATATATATATATGGAAGGGATCAGGTGCGGGAATAGCCTCCCGTGCGGTTGGACACACATTAAGCATTAAATTGATGCACTTTAAGTACACAACACACGCACAGTAAGCACACAAACAAAACACCTTAAGAACACAAATCACACACCTTAAGAACACCAACCACGTACCTTAAGCACATAACAAAGCACCTTAAGAACACAAATCACGCACCTAAAGTTTTAAAAATGGTTCACTTTAAGTTGCACATAACTGACGCACCTTAAGCATACAAATCACGCACTTTAAGATGAAAACAACGCACATTAATAAGGAAACTTACGCACCTACGTTTCAGCAACTACTCACATTAAGCACAAACACACGTACCTTAAGCACAAACTCACGCACCTTAAGCACAAAACTCACGCACCTTAAGCACAAAACTCATGCACCTTAAGCACAAACTCACGCACCTTAAGTTTCAACAACTACTACCATTAAGTACACAACCCACGCACCTTAAGCACAAACTCACGCACCTTATATACAAAACTCACGCACCTTACTCACAAAAATCATGCACCTTACATTTGACCTAAATGTAAAAAATTATCAAAATGCCACAGCGTTTTTTATTTAATTTTGGTAATCTAAGCGTTGATTTAAGCAAAATAAATGGTTCTTCCTTTCACCGCACAACCGCACAGGAACCCATATATATATATATATATATATATATATATATATATATATATATATAATTTGGAACACATGCGAAGGAAGTCTTTAGGTAAAAAAATAGGGATAAATCTCAATCATAGATATTGATACGGTTAATGCCCGTGTACGTAGGTTGCATGTATGTATGTAATAAGTGTATGAACAATGTAGAATAGACAAGAAGAATATAGCTCAAGAGTTCTTTTATTCATGTTGTTCTTCTATGCCTCTAGAGAGAAGGGAGAGGAATGAGTGTCTAGAGAGAGAGTCGAGCTAGTGGAAAGAGGGGAAGGACCCCTAAAAATGAAGGGTTAGAAGCCCTTATATAGGTCAACCCAAGTCAGGTTTGACCTCGACCTGAACCGTTTGACCCGACCCAAATAGGAGCACGGAGCGTACGGGGAGCCTGAACCCGGGGTATATTCCCCATCATGAAGCCCCCCCAGTCCGTGCCCTGACGATGAGTTAGCGAGGAAGGATTCGGGCTGGAAAACTGATCACACGGTCCGTGACTTGCGCCGGTTGCCTCGTTAAAAACCTCAAGCTAATAAAAAACCCAATGGGAAAAACTTTAGCTAAGGAAAAAAGAGCACAACGCTAAACGCAATCTGGTGGACTAAAAAAGGGAGTTACCCGACCTAGGGGTGGGTTTTGCAACATGATTCGAGAGGTCGAACCTTTACGGGACGAACGACCGGGAAGCTAGCTAAGATCTGGAGATCGGGTTAGCTGCGATCTAGATGTCTACTTTACCGGTCTGCCGACCGGGTTTCTAGGTACGACCGGGAGGTCGGATTTATTTACGATTTGGGGATCAAACTTTCTATGACTTAACACTAGGAGACCGGGAAGGTCGATTTACGCGGGAGTGCAATGAGCTACTACTGATGTAACCCTTCACTCCCTCAGTTGTGAGAATCGTCAACATAAGATAGTAGATATGATAGCTTTCCGAGTTTGCTTTGCAACTTTAATTGCGATCTATAAATGAATCGACTGAACTCACGATGCCGATGCATCAAACTATACTTCGGCCGACCGGGCGTAGAGCGCCGGTGGTGGCCATGCCAACCTAACCTGGCGTAGAGCGCCGGCGGTGGCAATGATGCCAACCGGGCGTAGAGCGCCGGTGGTGGCTATGGTGCCGACCAGACCGGACTTGAAGTGCCGGTGGCGGCCATGCCGACCTAACCGGGCGTAGAGCGCCGGTGGTGGCTATGCCAACCTAACCGGGCATGGAGCACCGGTGGTAGCTATGCCAACCTAACCGGGCGTAGAGCGCCGACAGTGGCAATGATGCCGACCGGACTGGACTTAAAGCGCCAGTGGTGGCTTTGCCAACCTAACCGGGCGTAGAGCGCCGTCGTGGCAATGATGCCGACCGGGCGTAGAGCGCCGCTGGTGGTGGCTATGCCAACCTAACTGGGCGTGGAGCACCGGTGGTGGCTATGCCAACCTAACCGGACGTAGAGCGCCGGCGGTGGCAATGATGCCGACCGGGCGTAGAGCGCCGCCGGTGGTGGCTATGCGAACCTAACCGGGCATGGAGCACCGGTGGTGGCTATGCCAACCTAACCGGGCGTAGAGCACCGGCGGTGGCAATGATGCCGACCGGGCGTAGAGCGCCGGTGGTGGCTATGATGCCGACCAGACCGGACTTAAAGCGCCGGTGGTGGCTATGCCGACCTAAACGGGCGGAGAGCGCCGATGGTGGCAATGATGCCGACCAGGCGTAGAGCGCCGGTGGTGGCTATGTCTAGCCCCCCGAGTCCGAGCGGCTATGACGGTCGGTCAATTGCCGGTCGGACTAAATGGAAGGAGACGCGAAAGAAACGCGCGTATAGCCCCCCGAGTCCAAGCGGCTATGACGGTCGGTCAATTGCCGGTCGGACTACAAGAAAAAGAGGGGAACGCGAAAAGACGCGCGTATAGCCCCCCGAGTCCGAGTGGCTATGACGGTCGGTCAATTACCGGTCGGACTACAAGAAGAAGGGGGGAACGCGAAAGGACGTGTGTATAGCCCCCCGAGTCCGAGCGGCTATGACGGTCGGTCAATTGCCGGTCAGACTACAAGAAGAAGAGTGAAACGCGAAAAGACGCGTGTATAGCCCCCCGAGTCCGAGCGGCTATGAGGTCGGTCAATTGCCGGTCGGACTACAAGAAGAAGAGGGGAACGCGAAAAGACGGGTGTATAGCCCCCCGAGTCCGAGCGGCTATGACGGTCGGTCAATTGCCGATCGGACTACAAGAAGAAGAGGGGAACGCGAAAAGACGCGCGTATAGCCCCCCGAGTCCGAGCGGCTATGACGGTCGATCAATTGCCGGTCGGACTACAAGGAGAAGACGATATTGTGGTCGTTCGGGCAGCAAGGCCGTAAGTTTAAGCGACATTATGGTCGTTTGGGCAACAAAGGCCGGAAGTTTAAGCGACATTGTGGTCGTTTGGGCAACAAAGGCCGGAAGTTTAAGCAACATTGTGGTCGTTTGGGCAACAAAGGCCGGAAGTTTAAGCGACATTGTGGTCGTTTGGGCAACAAAGGCCGAAAGTTTAAGCGACATTGTGGTCGTTACAAGTTTAAGCGACTTTGCGGTCGGTACAAGTTTAAGCGACTTTGCGGTCGGTACAAGTTTAAGCGACTTTGCGGTCGATCTTGTCCTTGTGGGTCGGGAGACCAGAATTGCCTACTTAGTAGGACTTGGGGCCGGGACAATTTCCCGGGCTTTACTATGCCGGTGGTGGCGTGGCCGACCCGACTGGGCTTGAGGTGCCGGTGGTGGAATACCAACCTGACCGGGCGTATTACAATTTAATTCTAACTATTAAAATTTTCCTAAATACAAATTGCAACCTATACAAATCATAATCTAATACAGTTTTCTAAGTATAGGCTATAACTTCTACGAATTGTAATATAGCATATATAATTTCTATAATTTGAAATTACATGAATAATTTATAAGCTTGGAATATTACTTCGGCAGTTTCCCATGCGTTGAACGGGGCCTATTCACTCGGCGATAGACGCGAACGGGGCCCGGAAAGATCGTGACGCTCGGAAAGAGTTCTTGATGTAATAAGTGTATGAACAATGTAGAATATACAAGAAGAATATAGCTCAAGAGTTCTTTTATTCATGTTGTTCTTCTATGCCTCTAGAGAGAAGGGAGAGGAATGAGTTTCTAGAGAGAGAGAGTCGAGCTAGTGGAAAGAGGGGAAGGACCCCTAAAAATGAAGGGTTAGAAGCCCTTATATAGGTCAACCCAAGTCAGGTTTGACCTCGACCCGAACCGTTTGACCCGACCCAAATAGGAGCATGGAGCGTACGGGGAGCCTGAACCCGGGGTATATTCCCCATCAGATATAGTCCAAATCAACGTCCCAGATTGAAGATGAATTAAAAAACGAGCGGTGACATTATTGTAACTTTAAGTAAGTCAGATAGTCTTTGTATATATCCGAGTGCACATTTTTTCTTCTTCACATGTTTCCTTCTTCAAATGCATCTTTTCTCTTCTTCGATTGCATTTGTTTTGTTTCAGTACATAGTTTCTCCTTTGAATGCACATCTTTGTGCCTTTGAGTACAAAAATTTGGCCTTCAAGTGCACAATTTTGTGTCTTCAAGTGCATAATTATGGATCAATATTTATTACATCTTTTACCTTCTTTTCAATAACATATTACTAACTTTCTGATGAATATATATATATATATATATATATATATATATATATATATATTACATCAAAATGAGAGGCCAACCCCGGTAGAAAACAAAACTACATGTTATTAATTATATTTAAGGATATTATTAACATCATGGAGAAAAAAATACTTAGAGGAAGTCAAAATCTCTAATAATCCATGGCCAGATTTTTTATAAGTATTATAGTACATTTTTCTGCATAAGTATTATAATTTTTTTTATAAGTAACTCTTTGTTGAGCATATAATCATTAATGTGCAATCCAATTATTAGTTTAGGCTTTTAGTTAAGATGGAGCACATGCTTCAATTTGGTATCAGAGCCAGACCAAAGGTAATGGGTTTGAATCTCTACGTCACCCCTTAGGCTTTTAGTTGAGATGGAGCACATGCTTCAATTTTATCATTAATCTCATCCTCTTCAACTCCTAATATTACATTTTGATTTAAAATTTTATATTATGGAGTACATTTTAAATCAACAGTATCGCATTTTTGCTCATAAGTATTACACTTTCTCTCATAAGTAACAATCAATCAATTTATTCTTGTTTAGTATTACAGTTTTTTCTCATAAGTAACTGTTGTTCGATCTCTAAATTTTTATTTTTATTTAAAAGTATTATATTTTTCGCAGAAGTATTACATTTTTCCTTACAAGTAACAAATAATTTATTTATGATTATTATTACATTTTCCAGCATAAGTATTACATTTTCTAGCATAAGTATTACATTTTCATATTGACCCGACCCCTTTAAGAATAAGGATCTGTGAGACGGTCTCACAAGAGACCTAGCCTAGGCTATAGGAAATGGGTAAATTTGAAAATAAAATTGTAAGTGAACAAAAAATTAAATAAACATAATATACAAACTAACAATACTAATGATTATACCCACGTAATTTCTATTCTTGTTAAAACATTATCATCATTTATAAGTTTATTTAGATATTGCATTCTATAGTTAGATTTTCTTGTAGTGTTGAATTAAATTCTTACATAACATAAATTTTCAAAAAAAAAAAAAAAATTCTTACATAACATAAGATTTATTTATTTTTACTATTTGGTTAAACAAGTCATACCATTGCCCAAAAATTGAGATTTTTAGCCAGGAAAAAATTAGTAAAAAATCAGGGTTTGCAATATAATTACAAATCATATAAGGTTTCTAACCAACTTTCTAAACCATTTGAAGGATTCAAAAATATATTTTTCATATTTTCAACCACCAACAAAGGTTGCTAGAAAATTTGGATGTAGATTGGATTTTATTAATCAAGATGTACAATCTGTGGTTGCTGGCAATTTCTAACGAGTAACGACTACGTGGTAGAAAAATTAAAATAAATAAATAACCTTGATTGTCAAAAAAAGGTTACAAAATTAAATGAATCTCTAATATTTTGAGTTAATTCCATTTTTTGTCCTAGATTTATAAGTGACAGTTCACATTTAGTCATTTTTTTTTCCAGAACATCCACTTTTGGTCCTAGTATTATTATGACATGACCATTTTAGTCCTCTATCAACAAAACAGTTTAAATTTCGTTAAATTCAATGCCATTTTGGTCTTCAATTATAAATTTGTTCAAAAAAAAAAAAAAACATAAAAAATATAACAGGTCAATCTACTTTGTATAAAAAAGATCAAAATGGCATTATATTTAACAATATTTCAACGATTTTTGTTGACGGAGGATCAAAAATGGTCATGACACAATAATACTAGGAGCAAATGAGGATGTTCTGATAAAAAATGACCAAAAATGGACTGTCACCTATAAATCTAGGACAAAAAATGGAATTAACTCCTAATATTTTTTAATATCATTTTATCTCACCCAATCACATTTTTATTTTTTTTTAGATATAAGATATATGAATGAGAGACTATGCATTTGAAATGTAGAGGAAATAATATCAAAGAGTTTGTGATGGTAAGGAAATTTCAGGGTTACGACATTGTACATATCCACCAGTAAGGTGAGTGGAGGAAATTGGATCAATTCCATTGATGTGCATAAAGCTAAGGTTTTAATGTATAGTTATGCTATAGGGAGGGAGTTCAGAGTTGGGTCATTTTCATTTGAAATCCTTGAAGCAATATAATAATATAATAAATATATGGAGAAACAAAAATACCAGACAAGGGTCCCTGCAGCTGTCGGAGAAAAGACATCAAGAGGCCGGGGCAGAAAAACACCACAATTCAACTCTACAAATTGGCTTCAAACCAAATGGTCCCCTACCCCGCTCCTCTCATATTTTATCTAATTTAGTGTACAACTTGTTCATACCATCCAGTTGTAGTATGTCTTCTACTGTGAGATATATAATAGATTTGAAATGGCCAGGGAGATAAGGAATACTAAAACTAATACGTAGAATATGTAACATATATATAAAATCGAGGGTTCAAGCTTAGAGCCAAATGATGAATAAAATAATAGATATATAGTTTCAGTGATAGCCAACAATTCCCACATCCCAGCACTTGCCAACCTTAATTACACATTTTTTTACTCTTGCAGGGACTCAAATACGTGACTTGGCTCTGATATCACTTGTTAGGGTCAAGTGCTAATCACTACGCTAAAAATTATAGCTCTTAGCGAATGCGCAATTTTATTTTCTTATAACGTTACACTTTCGAGAGGTAGTGTACTGGATTTGGCCCTTCACGGCCCTCCGCCGAACAATCCTCCTAACCACCAACTATTGGACATCGCCCTTTACCGGCCTCGGCCTAACGGGGGCATTAAAAGATCATAGCAGTTTACCTGCAAGTATGCTTTAGATGAAACCCGCTTTGTGACTCTAGCTAACAACATACCACACAAGAAAAACTAACCTAAATTGTACATACCTTATCCGATTCAAATCAAGAAGATAAATAGGTAGCCCTCACAAAGAGTCGAACTTGTAACCTTGTATTAAGAGAAGTCATGGTGGGTGGGAAATATGGCATCTATAAAGCTGTGGACCAGGCGGGATGGGATGAAGTAATCTCAACCCATATATAACATGGAAGAAAGCAGCACTTCATCTCCATCGCCCTAACTACTCACACAAATCCAATTGTGAGGAAAGTGAAAAGGCTTTCCACATTGATGTTATGTCTAATAAAGCCTGCCCACCAACATTACAGTCGTTATGCCACGGAACCGTGTTCACCATTCATGGTGAACACGGTCTCAACGGTGTTAGTGCACCGTTATTTTTTTTTTTTCTTAATTAATCTCGTGACTTTTCTTCTTCATTTTCACATTTTGTGGTTTCACTTTAATTTGAGGTGAGCAATGATTTCGAACATTCATAAATTATGAATCCATGCCTGCACATTCACTTTGGACCCGTGCCTACACATTCCCGTCCGAAACCATGACTGCTCCTCTGTAGCGCAAGCTTCTTCAACATTCATAAATTATGAATTTTCTGTTATGAAATTATGAATTTTCTGTTATGAGATTATGAATTTTCTGTTTTGAGATTATGAATTTTCTGTTATGAGATTATGAATTTACAATAAATTCATAATCTCATAACAGAAAATTCATAATTTAATAAATGTTTTTCTTTTATGCGATTATGAATTTTCTGTTATGAGATTATGAATTTACAGTACATTCATAATCTCATAGCATAAAATTCATAATTTGACCAAACGCGCGCCGTTAACACCACATCCGTGATTTTATTTATTTTTTATTTTTTATGTAAAAACGGCCCCGTTTGGACCCGTGTTCACCATTCATGGTGAACACGTTTCCAAGGCATAATTTGCGCCAACATTATTCACATGCTTGGCTGCACAAGGTTGTGATAACACGTATTCACAATTACATCAATGTTCGATCGTTTGGGAATTTAATTAAGTAATTTATGTTTTCTTTTTTTGGTATTATGATCTTCAAATATATATCTATTCATACTGTTAGTCTGTTGTATAAGCTCTTAAGTCTTAACTATTTTGAAGTCAAGTTAATATTCCATGCAGCGTCTACGTACCTTGTTATAATTTTTATTTATTGGAGTAATATTTTTAATTATGAAATAATTAATATTTATGTATTTAAGAATAAAATTGTAAATAAATTCTTCCGTATTCTGCAAATTATTATGTGGACCTGAATCCACCTTGTAAGATGAACCTAGGTCTAAAAATACACAATTTATATATTAAATGTTCACAATTTATATATTAAATTGTGAACATTCAATATGTAAATTGTAAACATTTAATAGGGTATTTTTTACTCGGGTCAGGTCCATTGCATGACTATTGTCCACATTCCGTTATCTATATTTTTTGAAATTAAACATTTTTCTTGTTTCCCGTTTTCTAATTTTGTGTTTCTTGTTTTCATTTTTATTTACATGCTACATAGCTAGCTGCCCAACAAATAATGGCATAGTTTATTGGGTCGTTAATTGCTTCGGGTAAAGGATTTTGTACGTACAACTAATGAAGTATAAGTGAAAGGAGCAAATCTTGCAAAAGTGATGAAGCCTAACAAACCTAAATTAAATATTAAAACCTACTCCATACTTGCTTAAATTTGTTCCAGTAAAAAAGTTCCCCAGTGTACAATAAGTTTTTCTTTTGTCCCCAAATTTGAGTATGTGTATGTGTAAGTGGTGAGTTTTTGATTTTGTATTATGAAATTTTGTACGTTAAGAGTATAAATTTTATATATGAAACAAATTATTAATTGTGTCATGTTATGAATTTTGTGTCTTGTGTTATGAAATTTTATACTTATGAACACAAATTATGTACCTAAATTATATTTGAAAAATAAGTAAATATATAATGTGATTTTTTATATCTTATGTTATGAAATTATGTACCTTACGAGCATATATAAATATAATTACGTACCTCATCGTTTCAATCAGACCCCGCCCTAGGCAACGTTGGTGCCAGTGCCCAGGGCCCACCAACCCACTGTACTATGTTTTATATATACTACAGAGTTTTTGTATAAGTATATAACATACATTTATATTACTAAAATAATAGTTATCTTAATTGGCAGAACTTTTTGTTTGTATGCTACTATGCTAAAGGTTGAAGGGTAAAACCCTCATATGTGCTTTTATATTAATTTTTCCCTCCTTACTATTTTTTTTTTTTTTTTAATGCTACTGACTCTATTACTCCCTCCTTACTATTTAGAAGGTGAATTTAGATATATTATTATGTAATATTAAAATTGTAACTTATAAAATTTATTTTTATTTTTAATTTGTATTTTTTATTTAATTTGTAACTTTGTAGTTTTTTTTTTTTTTTTTTAACATTTCTATAATTATAGTGAGATTTATAATATAGATTGATTTGTGATTCATACCAAATTTTGAATATATTTCTTTTCAAGTAATTTACTACTTATATTTAGAACATGTGTTATTTTATGAACTTTATAATGAGTTATGTATATGTAATATATTTTGTGATTCAGTTATGAAAAATATTTAAAAAGATATTTTTTATGAATTATCTACTCAATGTAGTTAAGAAGTTCAAATGTTTAATTGTGCATCATCGTATTCAAATTAATCTAGAAAAATTTGAATTTGATCTAACGAAAAAGAAAAAGTATTTATAAATATGATATCAATATAGAAAATGTGTGATTTAAAATGTGTTTTGTATTCGAACTATTTTATCAAATTAATTATGTTTCATACTTTATTATGAATATTCTCTCTGTCCCGGCCCATTTTACCTGTCATACTTACTATTCATTGGTCAAACAAACTCTTTCTTCTTTGTTTATTTCTATTATCATTTTCTTATAATTTTTAAATTTATTTATTTTTGTGTTTAATAATACTTTTAATGTAGTTTCTAAATATATAAATTTTACATATTAATTCTAAACTTAATATTATGAAAAATTAAATTGTAAATAACTTCACTCAAACCTCATTAACCGAACCCGACAGATAAAATGGGACGGGAGGAGTATCTTTTATCAGGCTTAAAGTGTTTTTTTTTTTTTTATTATTGCTCCCAATAATTAATATTTCATGCTCTGTTCTTATTTGTAAGTTTTGTTTTATAAATTTTTATTAATAATTACTTTATTATTTATTATAATAACAATGTGATTGTCTATAAGCTTTTTTTTTTTTTTTTTTTTTTTTTTTTTTTTTTGATTGTCTATAAGCTTATTTAGTTTAAAATTGTTAATTCATTTTTATAAATTATAATTATTTATTTATGAAGGCAATGATGCGATTATTGATTATTTTAGATTTAGGAAAGCATCTAGAATTGTTTTCATGTGTGTAAAATTGTAAAAATCTTTTGAAATCTTATTTTAAGTTATTTGACATTAGTATTTTTTTTATTTAATTTAAATTTTAGTTATAAAAATGTAAATTAATTTCATGTAGGTCCATTTTTGTTGCTACGTCCTGGGTCTATGAAATGACAGGACCGAACATGGTTTCGATTCAGGGTCCATAATGTTATGTGCAACCTAGTCCATGATATAAATTGCGGATATGATTATAGATGTAACTTTTAAAATTGAGAAAGTATTGCATGATAAACAAAGCCCAAGTACAATTCTTTCTCAAATAGGGATAGTTGAAAATATATTGTCATTGCCACCTTTTGCCGTATCATCAATGCCAAGATCTTAAAATGTTAATAAAAATTGAAGAACATATTATTTACATTATAACTTGTACATTTTACCATTAGTACCCTATACCATATATTTATTAATTGTTTATTAGGGCATCCTCAACGTAATTCCTTTTGATTTGAGGAGTTCATCAACACTCAACATCTCCTTTACTCTCAATATTCTCTCCTCTCAAATGCTACTCACTCCTCTCACAAATTCTTGGGGATCTAATAAGCATTATTTTTATTATCACTTTAAATAATTTTTTTAATAATTCATTTGCAATTTTTAATTATTTATGTTTATACTTTTATTATTAATTTTTGTAATTTAATACTGGGCTTTAGTAATTTTTGTTAGTATTGTTATTAAAATTGTGTCAATCCACTACCTTAAGCCCAATTGGTCATTATTATCATTGTTTTTATTTTGTCAGCGCATGTTTTAAACCCAAGCCCAATTGAGAAAATCACTTCCATCCTCCTTCCAGCTAGGGGTGGAAATAGGCCGAGCCGAGCCGAGCTTTGGAAAATTAGGCCTGGGCCTGTTACGAAAATCTAAAGCCTAGGCCTGGGCCTGAGCCTGTATGTAGGCTTTTTGTTAGGCTCAAGCCTGAGCCTGCAATTAGTCTGGCCTGGCCTGAAGCCTTTTTAAAGCCTGTTTAATATTTAGGTCATTAAAAAAGGCTTCAAAGTATATGTCCTACCCTAGCCTATTAAAGCCTACATGTTAAGACTTTTTAAAAACTTTAGTATATCTAAATAATATATACTGGCCTATATATATATATATATATATATATATATATATATATATATATATATATATATATATATATATATATATATATATATATATATAGGCCAGGCCTGTAGGCCTGAAGGCCGAGCCTGGTATATATAGGCCTGGCCTGTTTAGTTTAATAGGCTTTGAAATTGGCTCAAGCCTGGCCTTTTTACTAAACGAGTTAGGCCTAACTAGGCTTTAATTAGGCCATGACATAGGCCCCTACAAGGGGCCTGGCCTATTCCCACCCCTACTTCCAGCAATCGTTATGCTGTGCAACCGTGTGCACTATGCATGGTGCACACGGTTGCAAAACGACGCCGTTTCATTTTTTTTAAAAAATCTCGTTCGGATTATCGTTAACGGTGTTAGGCGGTTTCTTTCGTATTCAAACAGTAGGATATATCCATAATTTCATAACTATATATCCAGAATTACATAACTATATATTCATAATTTGACAATAGTACATTCAGAAATAATAACTACACATTCATAATTTCATATCCATATATTCATAATTTCACAACTAGACATTCATAATTACATAACTCCATATTCAGAATTCTTAAAAGTGCTTGTTCACAGAGAACTATATCCATAATTGCATAACTACACATCCATAATTTCAAAACTATATATCCATAACTTCATAACTATATATCCATAACTTCATAACTATATATTCAGACTTGCATAACTATATATTCATAATTACACGTCGATTGGAGTTTTTGTAAAATAAAAAAAATTTTAAAAAAAATTTAAAAAAAATATTTGATCGGTGGAGTTAAACGGTGCCACTAATGGCATCGTTACTCCATCATAGTAAAACGGTATCGTTTTGCAGCCGTGTGCACCATGCGTGCATGGTGCACACGGTTGCACAACATAATTTGCGCTCCTTCCAGCCAACGACACGCGACTGAAGAGGTGATGTTATTGCATAGACCACAGTCTACATAGCTGTGTGAACCACAAATAAAAAGTACATTATTTGAAATTATATTATTTGAGTACGAAAATACATTATTTTGTATACTATCAAATAATAATGTACTTTTACGGGGTGTTTGGTAGGAGAGAGGAAATTACGTGGGAAAGGAATTGAAATTTCATAGGAGATGAATTACTGGAAATAAAGTGGGAATTTAAATTCCAGTGTCTGGTTTACAGGAATAAAATTACTGGGAATTTCAATTCCAATGTTTGGTATACATGAGAATTGAAAGAGAATGTTAAACTCCATCTGTTTTGTATATATTTCAATCAAAGGGTACACCTATTTATACAAGAGTATACACGCTAACTAAGGTAAGTATCGAAAATACATCTCTAAGAATATACCATGAATCCCTAAGATTACGCTGAATATAATCCCCTGAATCCCTAAAATTATGATAAATATAATCCTACTATATAATGTCTAACACTTCCCCTCAAGTTGGAGCATAGATGTTGATCATGCCCAACTTGTTACATAAGTAATCTATTCGAGGTCCATTCATAGCTTTTGTAAAAAGATCCCCTAATTGTTCTCCTGTCTTCACAAACCCTGTAGAGATTAAGCCTCGTTGTATCTTTTCCCGAATGAAATGACAATCAACTTCAATGTGTTTGGTTCGTTCATGGAAGACAGGATTGGCTTCAATATGGAGAGCCGCTTGATTGTCACACCATAGCTTCGCAGGAATAGGAGCCTTTAGTGTCAACACAAGAAGATTGATGTAAAATACCATGTTCGAGCATATAAGAGCATTGTCACTTCTCAATACACGAATATGTATATTAAATTGTGTTTGTATCTCAGCACAAAAAGCACGAAAATGGGAAAATAATTCAGAATGACTTCTCATGAAATATAACCAAGTCATGCGAGAGAAGTCATCAACAAAAGTAACAAAGTATTGAAACCCAGATTTAGACATAACACTAGGGGTGTGCAGAATCCGAGAAACCCGACCCACCCGCCCGACCCGACAACCGACGGGTGAGCCCGTTGAGCGGCCCGTATCCGAAGACAAAACCCGAACCGAGTGGCCGTTTTTAGCCGGATGAAGAGGGTTCGGGTGGGAGGCATTAAACGCCACCCGAACCCGTCCGAGAAACCGATGAAGCCTAGGGTTTTTTTACCCTTATGTAATACGACGTCGTGTGTTATATGTATATATACTATCCATTCCGGTCAGCGCAGCCGAGCTCCCATTTCAGTCTTCTCTCAAGTCTCAATCTCTCATCTCTCATCTCTCGTTCTCTCTTTCGCTCTGGTCTTTGAGTCTTACTCTCTAAGACTCTGAGTTCTCACTTCTCAAATCTCAGTTCTCTCAGTCTAATTCTCTCAGTTGTAGTCTGGTGGAAGCCCTATTCGGAGACTCGGAGTAGCGATTAGTCTGGACTCTGGTGGAGTGGTGGAAGCCCTAGACCCTAGTCCGGTCACCGGACTCCGGTGGAACTGTGGAACGGTGGAATAGTGGATCCGAAGCCCTTTGTTCTCGAGGGATTAAATTTGAGAAACGAAGTAATTACTAAACCCTATTTTCATTTTCGTTATAGATTATTGTGTATTTGTCTTCTTGTTTAGGGTTTCTAATTTTTATGATTATGTGGAGTTGTTGACTGTGATACTTGTAAATCCGTTGAGAAGTTCCAGATTGCATGTCACTAGTCCTTTGAGTTTGAATTTGTGAATTGTGTGAATTGTGTGATTAGGGTTTCTAATTTGTAACCTAATCTGTGGACTCACTGGACTATGATACTTGTAAATCCGTTGAGAAGTTCCGGATTGCATGTCACTAGTCCTTTGAGTTTGAATTTGTGAATTGTGTGATTAGGGTTTCTAATTTGTAACCTAATCTGTGGACTCACTGGACTATGATACTTGTAAATCCGTTGAGAAGTTCCGGATTGCATGTCACTAGTCCTTTGAGTTTGAATTTGTGAATTGTGTGATTAGGGTTTCTAATTTGTAACCTAATCTGTGGACTCACTGGACTATGATACTTGTAAATCCGTTGAGAAGTTCCGGATTACATGTCACTAGTCCTTTGAGTTTGAATTTGTGAATTGTGTGATTAGGGTTTCTAATTTGTAACCTAATCTATGGTGGAAGCCATACTGCCCTAGCCCCTTGCCACTGTGGAAGTGTGGAACTCAGGAACTGTGTGTGAAATACTGAAATCCTTATAAATGTTAAGCATGATGGTATTCTTGTGGAAGCCATATAAATGTGGGAGTGTGTCTTGTACTCATGTGTGACTGAAATCCATATAAATGATGAGCATATAAAGTAGCATACATCTACTTAGCTTGAATGCCTGATTATGGATTTCATTGTAAATTGTAATTTGTAAGTTGTTAGTTACTTAGTTGTAAGTTGTAACTGTGAAAATGTGAAATTGTAAGTTTATGGATATGTGACCCTTAAATAATTTATGTGCAATTCTGCATACATGATGAAATGTTTAATTCACTAAATTCTGCCTGATTAAGTGTTTAACACTTTAATTAATTGATACATGTGTGTATGTGACAAAGCCCATTCTCTGTTGATGATTTTCAATGAGTGATTTTCCATTCTGTGTCACTGATACTTTCCCCTTTTTAGATGGAAAGTGTTAGTGGTGTTACTGGTGTATCTGGAACCCAACCTGAGTTGGAAGCACCTGCTGTAGAGACTGTTACTCCTCAGTCTCAGCAGCCTTTGCCTCCACCTGTTCCAAAGAAAAGGAAAGAGGTTGAATCCAGGGCTCCATGTTGGGATCACTTTGAAAAGATCAAAGACAGTGAGGGCATTGTCATCAAAGGAAAATGTATATATTGTGCAAAAGTGTATTGCTGTGAGAGCAAGAAACATGGGACTTCTTCTCTCAGACTTCATGTGGTAAACTGCCTTAAAAATCCTCACTCTAAGGAGACAAGGCAGTCCCTACTCACATTCCAACCTGCACCTTCTTCTGCTGGAACTCAAAGTAGTGAAGGAACTGAAGGGGTGTTGGGTACTTGGGTGTTTGATCAAGACTTGATAAGGAGAGCCTTAGCTGAGATGATTATTTTAGATGAACTTCCTTTTAGGATTGTTGAGGGACAGGGTTTTAGAAAGTTTGTTTTAGTTTGCTGTCCTAGGTTTAAAATCCCTTCAAGATGGACTATCAGTAGGGACATTTTCAAGATATTTTCTGATGAGAGGGTCAACTTGAAGAAGTTTTTTAGGACTAGCAGTCAGAGGGTAAGTATCACAACTGATACTTGGACCTCAGTCCAGAGAATAAACTAGATGTGCATAACTGCACATTTCATTGATAGTGAGTGGAAGCTGCAAAAGAAGATTATTTCATTTGTTCCTATATATTCCCACAAGGGGGAAAGTATTGCAAAGGCTTTAGAGAGTTGCCTTTTGGACTGGGGTCTAAAATCAGTGTTTAGTGTGACAGTAGATAATGCTTCCAGCAATGATACTGCCCTAGGATTCTTGAAGAAGAAGTTGGGCTCTTGGGGTTGTACTGCTGTTAGGTGTAAGTATTTGCACATGAGGTGCATTGCTCACATTCTTAACTTGGTGGTACAGGATGGGTTGAAAGAATGTGACAGTTCTGTTAAGAAAGTCAGGGATGCTGTTAGGTATGTGAGGAGCTCACCTGCTAGGTTGCAGAAGTTTAAATCACTAGCTGATCTAATTGGGATGGAAGCTAAGAATTCTCTGTGTCTAGATGTCCCTACAAGGTGGAATTCCACATATATGATGCTTAATACTGCATTATTGTTTCAGAAGGTATTTGAAGCCTATGATGATCATGACAGTTCATTTAAATCTGATTTGGGTGGAAGTGTACCTGATTTCTTAGATTGGGAATCCATTCAATCTTTGGTTATGATTCTGAAATCTTTTTATGAAATGACTGTTAGGATTTCTGGATCATTGTATGTGACTTCTAATACCTTCTTCTCTGAGATTTCCGATTTGTCTTGCTTGTTGAAAAATATGGAGGAAGCTACAGAAGATAGTGTTAAACTGATGGGTAAAAATATGAGGGCAAAATTTGATAAGTATTGGGGTGAGCCTGAAAAAATGAATTTTTGATATTCTATGCAAATATCTTAGACCCCAGGGACAAAATTGAGTATATGCCCATTCAGTTTAACCAGTTATATGGTGAGGAAAAGGGTAAAACAATGTTTGATAAGGTGATTGTTGGCCTTAAGGAGTTGTTTGAAGATTATGTTGCATGCTTCCCTGTCCAGTCTGTTGAACAATCTGAAAAATTTTCTCCATCAATAACAATATCTGATTCTGTTTCTGTTGGGAGACCTCAATCATTACTGAAATCTCAGATTAAGAAGCAAAAATTGGTGAGTGGGGATTTGTCTAGGAAAAAAACTGAGTTGGAAGTGTATCTCTCTGAGGTTATTGTGGATGAGGATGATTCATTTGACCTTCTAAGATGGTGGAAGCAATAATCTGAAAGGTTCCCTGTCTTATCTAAAATGGCAAGGGATATCCTAGCTGTTCCAATATCAACTGTTGCTTCAGAATCAGCATTCAGTACAAGTGGAAGGGTACTTGATGCCTTTAGGAGTTCCCTAACTCCTAGAATTGTTGAGGCATTGGTGTGTGCACAGGATTGGCTAAGATTAAGCAATCAACCAATCTCAATTGAAGAAAATATTGAAGATGTTGAAAGGATTGAGAAAGGTATATACTTCTAACTTCCAGCAATGATCTGTTTAAATGTTTAATTGTTTAAGTTCTAATTTCCAGTTTGTTTTTGTACTGCAGAGTTGTGCAGCACATCCAGCACTGGAACTAGAATGCCTACAATTGTTGTATGTTTACAGTTTCCATTAATTTATTTTGAAATCTGAATTTGTGATTACTTATTTGATTTGATTTCATGATAAATTTATGCCTCTGTATCAGTGTATCATGTATTCATGTATGTGTATCAATGATTCAAATCAATGTCCCTCAGAGGCTGGGAAGTTGGAACTGGAACTGGAAAGTGCTCATGGCTAGGTAACATTTTAAATGTTGCTGCCATTGAGCTCAGGTATCAGTATAAGTACTGACTAAATGTCTAAATGTGACTTCTGACTTCTGACTCACTACTCTTATAACTGTATAACTGTTCATTATTGTGCTATGATGATGCTTCCACCATGTTCTTTGAATATATAGAATTGGGTTTGGTCTATTGCCTATGAAGTGTGGTGTATGCCATACTCATTGAGTAGTGTTCCCCCAATCCTAAATTGATATGGAAAAAAAAGTATCTGAGCACTCTTTAAGTCTTTGCTATTTAAATATAATTCATTAGTTGTTCCAGTATAAGTATTATTGTGCTATGATGATGCTTCCACCATGTTCTCTGAATATATAGATTGGGTTTGGTATGTTGCCTATGAAGTGTGGTGTTTATGCCATACTCATTGAGTAGTGTGCCCCCAATCCTAACTTGATATGGAAAAAAAGCTATCTGAGCACTCTTTTAGTCTTTTACAGTTTCAGTTTGTGTGATTGTGTCAATCCTATCTTCAAATGTTTTGAACTTATTGTGTTTTTATGTGTTCACTTATCAGGAAGAAGAATAGACTAATAGAGACATAGAGTACTCTATATTATATTAATCATATATTCATATATTACTTTTGGAGTTTTGGATATCTGGCTTTCTTTTGCTCAATGGATGAAACATGAAAGCTGAAGGCTAATGTGCTGATTGGAGAATGGAGACTGATGCTGTTGCCACTTGCATGCTTGCCTAGTTGCCTCACTGCCTGCTTGCCTTGGGAGTTTGGAGAAGATTGTTATATTTTTGCTAATTTGTAACTTGTAATTTGTAAGCTAATCTGCTGATTATATGTAACTAATTTGTATTTTGCTGATTATATGTTTACACTTTTATAAGTTTACTTATGTTATTTTTGCTGTTAAGTAGTTAGTACTTACTAGTTAGTGGCTTTTAGTACTTAAGTTAGTTAAGTAGTTCATTAGTTAGGTGTTCCATCATCTATGAATTGAATATTTGATTTTTACATTCTGATAAAACCGAATTACCACACGGATATCCGACCGATCCGATCCAATCCGAAATCAAAATTAACCGATCGGATAAGTCAACCAAAAAAAACGGTTAGGGTGGTCAAATTAGAAATCCGATATCCGACCGGGGGGCTCAGTCCGCCATCCGAACCGTCCGATCCGTCCAACTGCACAGCCCTACATAACACGACATGGACCCCAAACATCAGAATGAACTAACTCAAATGGAGCATGTGCTCATTTATTAACTCTAGGACTTAAACTAACTCGATGATGTTTAGCAAACTGACAAGACTCACAATTTAAAGAGGACACCTTACTAAATTGCGGACACATCTTTTTCAACAATGGTAAAGAGGTGCCCTAAACGATAATGGACTTCAAACGGAGTACCCATCCTGAAGCATGCAACAGTTCTTGGCATATTGGAATCAAGAATATAGAGGCCACCAGACTTATGCCCTTTACCAATAATCCGCTTTGTCATAAGATCCTGGAACATGCAGTGAGTAGGAAAAAAAGTTATAGAACAATTTAGAGCATTAGTGATTTGACTAACAGAGATCAAATTAAAAGACAAGTTAGGAAGACTCAAGATCGAGGATAACGGGAGATCAGGAGTTGGATTAGCAGTGCCAATCCCAAGCACCCTAGAGGTGGATTCATCAGCTAGAGTGACATGGAAGTTGAAGGAGAGGATTGAAAGGTAGATAGGAGGCTAGAGTTACCTGTCATATGATCAGTGGTTCCCGAATCAATAACTCATTTGGAAGCTGAAGAGACGAGGCAAGTGTTGGGATTACCTGAGGTGGCATCAGCTACAATTGAGGTAGATGATGAGGATTCTTGGTACTTTAGGAACTTAGCATACTCATCTGCAGAGAAGAAAACCATTTTCTCACCATGAGCATCCGAAGACACCATATTAGCGAACCGATTGCCCTGATTTCTATTCTAAAGCTTCCAGCAATCCTTCTTCATGTGCCTCGATTTCTGACAATAATGGCAAATGATTGGATTATACTGATGTCCATGAGGATACCTACTGTGATATGATGACTTCATAGGCTCCCCCTTTGATTTCTGGGTGACAAGGACACTACTTGACAGAGGAGGTTGATAGGTCTCTGTACGTAGTACTCTAGAGAACACATCAGATAGGGATTTGAGCTCCTCACTTGATAAAATTTGGGATTTTGCTGGTTCTAGCCGAGGATGAAGACCAGCCAAAAAACTCAAGATGGCCATTTGTTCTCGCTGTTTCTGATGTTCTTTTATATCCTCCATGAATGACATTAACTCATTAAGGGCCTCATAAGTTTTCTTGAACTCCATAAAATATGTCTGTAGAGGTTTGTCAAGCATATCGGCTCGATAAAAAACTTTACAAACATCATAGATTCGAATAATTTTGCCCTTACCCGAATACAAAAAATTGAGATAGTTTAAAAACTCTTTTACAGTTTCATAGTGACTAATAAAGCCAAAGATCTCAGATTCAATTGAGTTCCGTATTTGAAGAAATAACTTAGCATTATCACGCAACCAAGTGTGTTTAGTTTTTTCATCCTCAGGTGGGTCTTTAGTCATATGGTCATCTTTGTCAATACTACGAAGATATATTTTAATGGTTCGTTTCCATTCCAAATGATTTGAGCCATTTAGTTTGTGTTCTGACTTCTGTGATTCTTGCATTAACTGGAAGAATATCAGACACAACTACAGACTTAGTCTCAGACATTAGGCTACCCAACAAGAAGATATCCCAAACCACACAAACAAACTGCCAAAACCAGAACTCCAATGCCACAACAAACACACAAACAGCCACACAACTTCACTGTCGAGCAAAACAAAATACAAGAGGGATATTACCGGGACCTCCAATTCCAAAACCGAGCCTAGAGCAACGTTGTAGAAGATCGGGCGACCTCTGGAGAAGAAACTGGTTTCGATTCCGGCGCCGGAGTAGGGCACAAGCGCCGGCACGTGGACTTCCGGCGAAAGATGGAGGCGGCGCGTGAGGGTACACCTGGAGCTCTTGATACCATGTTAAACTCCACATGTTTTGTATATATTTCAATCAAAGGGTACACCTATTTATACAAGAGTATACACACTAACTAAGGTAAGTATCGAAAATACATCTCTAAGAATATACCCTGAATCCCTAAGATTACGCTGAATATAATCCCCTGAATCCCTAAGATTATGATAAATATAATCCTACCATATAATGTCTAACAGAGAATAAGTAGTATAAAGTCCAAAATGGCCATTGTTGTTGTCACGCATCAATTTTAGGTTAAAAAATGAGAGGGTAATTTTGTCTCATCATTACCTTTTTTTCTTCTTAAAATCCATGGAATTAAAATCCCAAGGAGGGGGGGGGGGGACATGGGATTTTAATTCCATGAAAATGAGGGAATCGCAATTCCTTCCAACTAAACTAAGGAATTTAGTGGCCTTTGGAATTAGGTGGGAATTAAGTGGAAAGGAATTTAAATTCCCTCCAACCAAACTCCATATTAATATATTAAAAATGTACTTTGTATTAAGGAAAGTACATTATTTTGTATAATATACATTCAATATACAAAAGATATATTTTTAGTATATTAAAAATGTACCTTTTTTTATGATCTACACATTTTTAATATACTAAATGTACATTATTTTTATTTTGAGTGTACTTTATATTGTATAATGTACATTCAATACAAAAATAATGTACATTTAGTATATTAAAAATGTACTTTTTTTGTTATGGTCCACATAACATTGTGCGGACCATGGTCCATACAATAATTTGCCGAAAAATAGTAATAATATTACCTAGAGCGCTAGGCCCAAAAGAATACGTACCAAGCTCGAGACACCGGCCCAAAACGATGGTCCAAATAATAAATAAATAATAGTTATAACCAAAATAATTAAAATAGAAATAACAATATTACCTCTAGGAATCAAACCTTGGTATGCCAGCAGGAGGGTGAAGACTTAGACCAATAGACCAGAAGGGATTTGGTGAGCCAAGGGATGGTTTTTAATGGGAGTGAATGGTGCCTATTTATATTGTTGAAAGACTCACGTATAGTTGACAAATGGACAATATCGAGCAACCTTCATTCTTGGCCACACACGTGTCCCCCCACTACTTTGCTTCTAGCGCACTCCCATGCATAAGTGAAGCTTCATGCACATTAATGTATAAGATCTTGAGTGGTTTGGTGGTTTAAAACTTATGTTGTTATGTTTGAGGTTGTGGATTCGAACCTTAGAAAAGCATAATATCTTATATTATTTTGCTCCATGTCATCATCATAAGTCTCCCACTTTCTTTGGTTGTCTTTGACCACTTTCTTTGGTTTTCTTTGACGAGCAAAGAAAGTATAGACACTCTCAAGCTTTCACGCAC